TGGTGAGGTTGGCTCAGGATCAGGCAGTGTTTCATTCTGCTGTGTATAGGGTTGCTATGGGTCGGTACCAACTCAATGGCACTTAACAACAACAACCACTACAAAATGAAGGTCCCAAAAGTGTTACTCCAGTCATAACATCATGGTCATTTCTACTTTGAAGCAGTAACTCTTCCTCAGTTGTATTTGAATACGTTCCTGAGAGACTCATCTTCCAATACCATATCTTATAATATTCTGGTGCTATTCATATTTCTCAGTGTAAATAAAAAAAAAAAAAAATCCTTACCACTTGACCAATAAACAACATTCTTATCAACGGAGAAAAGATTGACGTTGTTAAGGACTTCATTCTTCTTGGATCATCACGCATGGAAGCAGCAATCAACAAATTAAATAACGTATTGCATTGGGCAAATCTGCTACACAAGACCTTTTTAAAGTGTTGAAGAGCAAAGATGTCAGCTTGAGGACTAAGGTATGCCTAAACCAGGCCATGGTATTTTCAATAACTTCATATGCATGCGAAAGCTGGACAGTGAATATGGAAGACCATAGGAGAATTGATGCTTTTGAGTTCTGGTGTTGGAAGAGAATATTGAAAGTGCCATGGGTTGCCAAAAGAACCAACAGGTCTGTGCTGGAAGAAGTGTAGCCAGAGTGCTCCTTGGAGGCCAAGATGGCCAAACTTTGTCTCTCATAGTTCGGACATATTGTCAGGAGGGACCAGTCACTGGAGAAGGATATCATGTTTGGTAAGGTGGAGGGTCAGAGAAAAAGAGGAAGAACCCCCACTGAGATGGATTGACAAAGTGGCAGCATCAATGGGCTCAAGTGTGGCAACAGTAGTGAGGTTGGCCCAGGATCGGGCAGTGTTTTCATTCTGCTGTGCATAAGGTCACTGTGGTTTGGTACTGACTCAATGGCACCTAACAACAACAACTCATATTTCAATATTCTGGTGTTGACAATGTTCCACCACTATTCATAAGGTTTTCAATCACTAAACTTTCAGATATAGTCTCCGTTTCCTCCTTCCTAGTTTGTCTTAGCTCTTCTGAAGCCTGTCCACCATGGGTGACCCTGCTGGTGTTTAAAATGGCAGTGGCTTATCTTCCAGCAATACAGCAATGCACAAACCACCACAGTACAACAACTGACAGACCAGTGGTGCAGAAAGATGTTTACCTGTGCTTTATTGACTATGAAAAAGCTTTCAACTGTGTGGATCATGAAAAGCTATGGATAACATTGCGAACATTGGTATTCCAGAACACTTAACTGTGTTAAAGAGTAACCTGTGAAAGGAGATATGGAATGGTTTAAAATCAGGAAAGGTGTGTGTCAGGGCTGTGTTCTTTCACCATACTTATTCAATCTATATGCTGAGCAAATAATCAAGGAAGCTAAATTATATGAAGAAGAACATGACATAAGAATTGGAGGAAGACTCATTTACAACCTGCGATATGTAAATGATACAACCTTGCTTGCTGAAAGCAGAAAGGAGTTAAAATACTTACTGATGAAGATCAAAGACCATAGCCTTTAGTATGGATTACACCTTAATGTAAATAAAACAAAAACCCTCACCCTGGATCAAGAAAAGATGTTGTTGTTGTTGTCAGGTGCCATCGAGTCGGAACTGACTCATAGCGACCCCATGCACAGCAGAATGAAACAATGTCCAATCCTGGGCCAACCTCACTACCGCTGCCACACTTGACGCCATCAATGATGCCACCTGGCCAATCCATCTCGTTAGGGGTCTTCCTCTTTTCCTCTGACTCTCCTCCTTACCCAGCATGACATCATTTTCCAGCGTCTTTTCCCTCTGGACAATATGTCCAAAGTATGAGAGACATTTTTAAGTACTTCACTTTTGCTTGGATCTAAGAGCAGCACTCATGAAGCGTCAAGAACTCAAAAAACCTATTACACTCGACAAATCTGAAGCACAAGAACTATTTAAGTGTTCAAGAGCTAGGATATCTGTTTGAAGTTCATCTGACCCAACGATACTTTCAATTGCCTCATATGCAAGTGAAAATTGGACAATAAATTAGGAAGACCATTGAAGTATGGATGGTTTAAGTTGGTTTGGGAGAGGAATATTGAAAGTACCATGTACAGCCAGAAGAACAAACAAATCTGTGTTGGAAAAAGTACAACCAAAATGCTCCTTAGAAGCCTGTATGATGAGAGTTTGCTCTCATACTTTGGACACATTTTCAGGAGGTACTAGTTACTGGAGAAGGATATTGTGCTTAGTCAAGTATAGGGTCAGCAAAGAAGACAAAGATCCCCAATGAGATGGACTGGCACAGTGGCAGCAGCAATGGGTTCAAGCATAACAACAAGTGTGAAGATGGCACAGGACTGAGCCAGTGTTTATTTCTGTTGTTCATAAGCTATGAGTTGGACCTGACATGATAGCACCTAATAACAACAGCAGTAATCTAAACAAGAGATGACAGTGGCTTGGACATGAATATTACTTGTAGAGATGATGAAATATGTCGGATTCTGATGGAAAAGTTCTTGAGATTTGATCATGAATTAGATGAGATGGGTAGTAAGGTTAGGAGAAAAAAGAAAAGTCAGTGATGATGGTGAGATTTTTGGTGTAAGAAACTAGAAAGATAGAGTTATATACTAAAACATAAAGAAGAAAATTGAGAGTTGAACACATTTTGGGGTTACATAAGGAGCTTAACTTTGACATATTAAGTTGGAGATGCATATTAGATATTCACATGGAGCTGTGAAAAAGGCAGGGAGATAAATATAGATCGAGTTTTGGTAAATATCTTGGTAGCTGGAAATGAAAATTTGGGAGTCAATAGGGTAATTATGGCAAATAAATGTATATGATATAAAGCAATCACCATGAGAGTAAGATAAATAAAGAATAAACAAAAATCAAATCGGTTGCCATTGAAACTATTTAAACTTAAAACAACCTTATAGGCCAAGTAAAACTATCCCATTGGGTTTCCAAGACTATAAACCTTTACAGAAGCAGACTACCATATCCTTCTTCTACAAATAAGCTGCTGGGTTCAAACTGCTGGCTAGCAGCCAAGCACTTAATCACTGTGCCACCAGGGCTCCTCAGATAAGAATTGATGAGGGAAAGAACTGAGTCCTGGAATACTCCAAAATTAAGAGATAAGAGAGAAGAAGAGGATCCTGCAAAGCAGTCTGAGAAGGTGTGGCGAGAGGAGACAGTAGAACAAAATGTGTTGACATGGAAAACTGTGTGTGAGTCCAACAAGACAAGGATTGAAGATTGATTTGGCACCATGGGAGTTGTCAGTGGTATTGACAAAAGCAGTTTCAGTGGAATCATGGGGGTGAAAGTCTGACTGTAGTAAGTTGTAAAAGAACGTTTGGAGAAAAAAATAGAGGAAAACATGGTCAAAAATCTTTGAAAGACTTTGACTGTAGGGGAGGAGGAATGTGAAAGACGTGGGCAGAGAAACAGTAAGTGCTGTTAGTCGAAATTAAAGGAAGACATTTTAAAGTCATTATTAGAGAGACAATACAATGTTCATGTGCACAAAAGAATATTCAATAGAGGAGAAATTGTATACTAAGAGAAGAAAGAAAGAATTGCTGGAGAGGTACATTTGAGTGGGCAGAAGGGATAAGATCTGTAGCATTTCTGCCTTAAACAGAAGGGCAGACTGTTTCTTGGTAGTAACGAGAGAAAGCAAAGTAAATGAGTATGTCATGAGAGCTCAAAATGGGTTCATCCTGGCATTCAGACATGTCTGGGCATGTGTGAAAGCTGCTAGAGTTGGTACACTTGAAAGTGACTATTCAAAGAATAGAAGAGACATGAGGGAAAGAAATCTTTCTAAAAGAAAGTAGAAAGGGAAAGCTCTGAAGGTTGAGGCCAGCGAGGTGCTGGGTGAGTGATGAAAGAGAAGGGCTGAGACGATTTGCGTTCTCATCTCAGAGGTTGATTTAGTTATTTATGCTATGGAGTCCCCCCCGTGTGGCGCTGTGGGTTAATACGCCAGACTGAAAAGCCGTTTGAACTGCAAGGTTGGCGGTTCAAGCTCACCAACTGCTCCTCAGAAACCGTATATAGGGTCGCTATGGGTCGGAACCAACTCAACGGCACTTAACAACAACAACATAACAGAAATACCACACGTGAATGGCTTTCACAAACAGATTTTATTTTCTCACGGTTTAGCAGGCTAGAAGCCCAAATTCAGAGTGATGGCTCTCGGGGAAGGCTTTCTCTCTCTAAAGGCTCTAAAAGAAGGTCCTTGTTTTTTTTTAGCTTCTGCTTTGTAGTTCCTTGAAGATTTCCATGTGTCTTACCCTATCGTTAGCTCTGTTTGGGGCTTTCTGTCTCTGAACGCCCTAAAAGAAGGTCCTTGGTTTTTTTTAGCTTTTGCTTTGTAGTTCCTTGAAGATCTCTATGTGTCTTACTCTATCGCTAGCTCTGTTTGATTTGTCTAATCTCTTTTATGGAGTCCTGGTGTGGCGCTGTTTGAACAGCAAGGTTAAGGGTTTCCCTAGTTTTAAATGAAAGGATGGAAAAAAGGAATGTGATATTGGAACAAAGACAAATAAGCCGACCAATGGAATATAAGAGTCCAGGGAAACTCTGCATTATGACCCTCATGGTGCCGAGACAACTAATCTCCATATTTGAAAAA